CCTAGTTGTTTTTGTGTCTGTCTTCTACTGACTATCGTTTTCGCCTCCCGTAGAGCTTCACCCAACACCAATATAATATTGCTTATCAGCAGGGTCGCGATGCTTAAAGCAAGGTCCCAAAAAAAAAAAATACACAAAATAAAAGAATTTAAAATTACAGATTAAAATTATTTATTTTTAAGAAATGTCGCGAGAGTGGCGCTATACCGGTTCACGATGCCTCATACATGCAATGATCCACTGGCAATGTTGCAATTTGCAATCTTTGACGCGTAATTGTTTCAGCTGTATTGTCGACAGCCAGTATGTTTTGTAGTTCTATTAAAACAATTTTTGCTTCGGAGGAGAGACACTAAAGCGTCGTACATGACTATGCTGCTGAAAGGGTATAAAGGCTCAACTTGCGGCTTATTTTTTCGGCAGGCACTCGGGGTACTTCGTAATTTGTCGAGTTTTTCCGTATTTATCTCCTACAATAAATCGCGGATGCTAATCTCTCTGTCTGTCTTGCTGAGAGCGCAAGTAAGAGGTACAGCCGTGAGGTTATTCTCACACCATGATGCGACGAACCATTTTAAAGCGGCCAAAAACATATTTGGCACAAAAACGAGAATTAGAAGGCAAAAAAACGAACAGCCAGATTTCGGGCTGCAAAGTAGCGGTTTATGCACGCCCATGTCGTGAACTTTGGTTTAGGTTAGGGGTTTTTAAAAGCGTGGGGTGTCAATAGGATTTGGCCGCAGATTTCCGCCAAAAAAATACTAGCCGCAGCGCAGAAAATTACCAATACAGGCAATCCTAGACGCGCTCGAACTAAATAACCAAAACCTGGGCAGCCAGAAAAGTCAAGCGAATCCTAGAACAGCAAACAGCGCTCACGTATAGGTCAGGCTCAAAATAGGGCAATCGTCATGAAATGCGCGAAACGCAACAATAGCACGAAAACGCATGAAATAGCAGAAAAGCAGTAACCCCAAAAAATCCCGGGACATCGCCGGTAGCCATGGCTAGTATATCATCATATACACCGCTGGCCGCTACCAACAACACGAGCCAACACTACGAACACAATGGCCGCCGCTAGCCGCGCGCGCCGCAACACAGCCGCCGCACCACACTAGCACTACAGCACCACGACACGCACGCACCACACACAGTGTGTGCGCATAAGCGTTCTGATCAAAGCGTTAAAACAGAACGACGCTTGCAAAATCAGCAATTTCGGCCATTCAACACACGCCGAAGTGTACTTCTCCTTCAGTCGCTATAGCACGCGGCCGACGCAGCCTGTCAGGCAAGCTATTCGACTCAGAATACTGCCTGGCCTCCTGCTGCTGCTGGCGCTGCTGCTGTTCTGCGCTTGCTGCGCTGCTGTTGCTGCTGCTCTGCTGCTGCTACTGCTCGGCTCGTTTTTTCTTCTGCTGCTTCTGCTGCTACGGCTGCTGCGCTGGCTGCCGCTGCTGCGGCTCTAACTTACTACTGCTGCTGCTGGCTGTTGATTCTGTGCTTATCTGCTCTTCTGCTACGTGCTTCGCTACTGCTGGCTACTGCTGCTGCTGCTACTGCTGCTGCTGGCTGCTGCTGCTGCTCGCTTTCTGCCGCTGCTACTGGTGCTGCTACTAGGCTGCTGCTCGCTGCTGCTCGCTGTGAACCCGCTACGCTGCATAATACGGCGTGAGTGACGGCGGTGGTTGCGTATTTCAGACTAGCAGGACTTTTATCGCTGATCGCAGAGATCTCTGCACTTACACACTGTACACACATTCACGCTGGTGTATAGGTCTATGTTCTCTACGGATGTCTCCTTTTGCATCGGAAATTACCAGAGAGTGGGCAGAGACAGAGGGAGGGAGGGGGGAGAGAGAGAGAGAGAGAGAGAGACAGACAGACAGACAGACAGACAGACAGACAGACAGACAGACAGAGAGAGAGAGAGAGAGAGAAAGCGAGGAGAGCAGAGAGAGAGAGAGAAAAGAAGAGAAGAGAGAGAGAGAGAGAGAGAGAGAGAGAGAGAGAGAGAGAAGGGAAGGCGAGAGAGAAGAGAGAGGAGAGAGAGAGAGAGAGCGAGAGAGAGAGAGAGAGACGAGAGAGAGAGAGAGAGAGAGAGAAGAGAGAGAGAGAGAGAGAGAGAGAGAGAATGTAGGAGAGACGAAAATGCGTGGTGTGAGAGAGAGAGAGAGAGAATGTAGGAGAGAGATCAAACGCGTGTGTGTGAGAGAGAGACAAAAATTGTGTGTGTGCGTGCGTGCGTGCGTGCGTGAGAGAGAGAGAGCGAGGGAGCGCGAGAGCAAAATAGAAAAAAGAGAGGGAGAATGAGAGCGAATGGCATAGATATTTTGCATTACGCTAAAAGCCACTCCAGTCCGACAAGTGGTAATTTTCAGCTGACAACGCTATTTCATAACATTGGACACCAAAAGGCTTATAAAAATACCACAAACCCCGAGTGGTCCAAATTAGTGACATATTTTAAAAACCAGTCCGATCGATAACTATCATGGGCATCTCAACTCGCACACATGTCGAAATGCATCATGATCATCAAGCCAGCACACGCCAAGGCCCAGCGTGCAAGTAAAGTGGATCGGACTAAATGGCTACGTGGTTTCACTCTGCGCTAACAGTACCAGATAGTTTCAGAGTATATGTACGTGAGTGCGTACGTGCGTGCGTGCGTGGGTGCGTGCGTGCGTGGAAAGAGAGAGAGAGAGAGACGTTTTTCCAACAATCGCCCACAGCCGACCTCCCGCTTCCCCCCTTCCCCACATCCCGAAGATTTTATCTCGCAAGGAAAACGAATCAAGCTTTTAACGTATCAAATTTATCAACTTTTAAAAGGATCGGAGCCAACGGCAACAAAAGCGCCACCTTTTGTGAGAAAATTGCTCTAATCACATCAGCGCGTCGGGCCCACTGAACTAAAACTAGTTTAACTAACTAACTTAGTTTTAGTTCAGTGGTCGGGCCGCCGCGAGTGCAAGTGCACTCGGTGAATACATCACGTTACGCTGTCGCGCGGATAGCTGTGTTTGCTCGATCACCATGCAGTCTTTGAGGTAGTGATGCTGTGTATACATGCTGGAGATATACTGATACATATCTCCCCGTATTACACGTACATGAAGAAATATAAACGTTTTTTTTTACATTACATGCACACGACAAAATATAGTTAGACGTGTCTCCGTATAACATACGCACGAAGAAACACACGAATATTTTTTCTATATCACATACGTATGAAATGATATTTACATATCCATTAGTAGCGTAGTCATTATTAGATTGTTAAAAGCTGCCCCGCGGAATCCCTCCACTAGTGCTGTGGATACTTGTGGGGGATCGAGTGAGGAGAACCTGCAAGTTGCAGAAATTTGCCAACCAGCTTTCATTTATCACTGCTGCAGATGTCCCTCGAATACGATTACCTAATGTAGTTTTTCCTCGTCGCATTGCTGCATATTTCTTTCGATTGCCTCTAGCTTGCTCGCGCGCTAAATCTACGATATCTTCCTCGCTCTTGAGCGAGGCTGGGAAAAGAAGATTGCAATTAGGGCACTGTGGATATGAGCAGATGCTAAAATTAGCTCATCTAGGGAGAAATTACCGAAGTCTGGTATGTTTCTGATGTAGACAGGAGGACTACATTTTCCAGCGAGCTTTCTCTCTCAGCATTGGTACATTTCGCGTGAGATTTATATCGAACAAGATCTATTCGCGAAGTGAAATTGACCGTGGAAGTGTGTAATACACCATATTATATAGGTTATTATCTGAAACTTGCTTTACTAGTCAGCCATTCTCGTCCAATTTCGCAGAGATTCGTCAGCCTCATTACGGATTAGTCATAGCCCCCCACTTGGTATTCATATTCGCAAGCCCGGATGACATAGTTCATTATATTGCATTACACTACGGTACACAGTACACACAACAATTCATCAGCTATGACAATTAGAAACATCGGAGGAGTACCATCGTACTTCGTCTAACGAAACTTCGGCCAATAGATTCTCAATTAACGAACAGGAATTTTTTTTTAATAATAAATATAAATAATAATAAATAGTGCACAACCCTAAGTATAGTAGCATATAAGCAAAAGATTTCAAGAGCATTTTAGTGGAAATGAACCATTCAGCCACCCCATACGACCCACCACTGACCTCGCAGAGGCGAAAACAACTATTAGCGAGAAGGATGCATGGCTACAAGTGCTCATATAAATGAGCAAGTGAAGCACCCCAACTCATCTCATCAACCGACGCGGACGGAAATTAAATCCTCGTCAACACGAACCACCTACAGGTGCATTACATGTAATAGCGACAGGAGGAAGGTGAGGTGGTGAGAAATCATTATTATCTGCTGCTGCGACTTAGCATGCTATCCACGTAGCAGGTAGTCACCGACGTGTAGTACAACATGATTATTAGCTAAGCTGTAAGCTGATAATCGTTGATAGGTTTTCGTTGTATATGCTGCATTTAAAAGCTGATAGGCGAGTGCCATGCCACTCGCACAGCTATCTAACACCATAACAGCCACCTAACGCCACAACAAATCTCTTGCAATCGTATCCTGATATCAAATGTTTAGCCGAACAACAAATAGGCTGAAAATGCCTTCTCTTAAGCACAATAGTCAGAAGTCCAATAAGTAACAATATTACCATGAAACACTGAAAAGCTGACAAAGCAACTGTGGGACTAAGCTATTCAAAAAAAGTTTCGTCCTATAATACATGGACACCTTTGGAAATTTCTGCCAACGTCATTGCACTAAAACAGCCTGGTATGCATGTATTTTCACTGCAGCTTAACCAGCGTTACCGTAAAGTAGACAAACCTGTGTAACTGTTGTTTTCCAGTCATCACTGCAGCAAGCTCACAGAAGGGCTGAGGCATTAATGTACTCATGCTCAAATCACTGGCTCCAAGCAATGTAAAGTACAACCTGCACTGCTGATAAACGTGCATCAACAGAACTACCTTACCTACCTTGACCATCCGCTGTTGTGCCTCTCTCCATTAGTAAAACACCAGACTCCCTTGTCACTGATCCAAATGTTGACTTTATATACCTGGAAATGGGAACGTGCATTTTTTCTAATTCAAAAGATGATGACAACGAAAAAACAGTGGCCACACCACCACCACCACCACCACCACCACCACCACCACCACCACCACCATGACATAGCGAGCAAGTGTCAGTTGATTACCTCTGCACAGTCTCCTCAAAGTCGTACAGTCCGTAGTGCTCATGATCATACTTGACTATCTGATCTGCAGCTTCGTGAAGTCTATCCGGTCCGTTCTCCTGCACGAAGAGAGCAGGATCAGCAGTTCAAATTTGAACACCACGCCTCTGGTGAAGACGAATTATAATCTTATCCCTAGTTTCTATGTGATTACTGCTGGTGGGACATCGAGATAAGCTCGAGTTATTCGTTCGCGTCGGGTTAATGCATGCCGTGCAATTCATTTGTCCTCCACTTACCACTCTGTGAATTACTGGGCTTGACAAATCAAAGCAAACAAAACTCTCGACGGCCTCAGGAAATGTTCCAGAATACTGTAGAGAGAGGCAAGAGATTGTGAGGTTGTTTCATGTTTAAATTGCCCTATCCTACAGGAATACTCAAACAATTTCAGACAAGTGAGACAGAATCTATATTCGCTTATACCGTTTCTTCTAATATATCAAATTATAAATATATTATTACTATAATTATAAATATTAAATTTAATCCAAAAATACTACTCATTCATAATAAGTGACATCACTATTTTTCCATTCACTCTACAGTGTCAAATCTGTGTAAACTGAAGAGGAACATGATTAAAAATGGTTTAATTAGCTACTTCTATTTAAATTTCAAACACAATTCACACGTGCACACAGGTATGCTACACTAATACAACAAAATATGTCACGTAAGAACTCTGCTGACAAGACAGACTGGTGTAGGAGCAGTAGACACATACCAGCAAAGCCACCATAGCACCCATACTGTGAGCAAGCACATGGCAAGCTCTCCACTCCAGACCTAAATATGAAAAACTGACTAATAGATCTAGAAAAACTACACACATAAGACAGCAGCTAGTAAAATCACAGAAATAGACTGAAAAGTGAGATGCACACGTTAAATGTGTATAAGTTAGGACATCTGTAGGAATTGGAATCCACATGTAGTATAGTGGGAAGAGGGTACAAAATTGGGTTGTATGAGGGTAAGATATTATGTGAAGGTTACACAGGTATGCCGGTATTATGTTATGAGTACACAGGTAGGATATTTCGTGAAGGATACAGGTAGGATATATTTTAATGAAACTTGTTTAAACCACGTGAAGGATTGAGTCTGCTGAATTATGACATGTGAAGAACACATACGATGGTAGAAAGTGCCCATAGCATGAACAGATCTTAGTTACCAACCAAATGCACACATCTGCTACATCTGTTAGTGTTAGTGGCAAGAACATCTAAAAATCAAGAAAGACTATTTGTAGAGCATGCTATAGAGTGCAAGTCTGCACATCCTTAGCACAGTGCACTAGTAGAGGCCCTCCACGATGTCACACACATATAAATGTTACATGTGCGGAAAAGTATGGCACTAAGAATAGTCGTTCAATATTTTACGATCACCACCTTTAAGTGTGAAATGCTTCTATGTTCTATTTAGATCTAGTCATTGCAAATTCTGTGCAGCTTAACGCATAAAACTCAATACTTGATCGATTTCAATGATATTCCATGATCTTCTATGATCAGCAACTATACCCTAATGGCCTAATCTAATTTATTCCACAATGCAACGAGGTATACAGTGTGTGACAACATGGCACGAGCTGGGGACACTGTAAGACACAGACTGACATCAACATGGAGTGAAGTCGCTACTGCAACTCCCTAACCAATTCACCTACCAACATGGCAACACTGGCACCCATACTGTGCGCAACGATGTGGCAATGTTTCCATTGAAGATCTGTGCACGAGAGAAATGTTAAGAACACTGAATTTGGACCAGGGGCCCCTTGTCAGAAACATCATAGATACTTTCACTCTAAAATGCCATGACTTTTGTTTGCACCACACTTTGTGCACGAAAGTTATGACATTCGAGAGCCATGCTGTAGCAACTACATATATGATAATTCTGACAATGGACCCGAAAGTGATGTTCCTAAAACATAAGCAACACTAGCAATACTGTCTGAGCTGAGATGTCACGACTGACCATCATCTACTACTTGTGTGTACAAATGAATGTTACGTGTATTGTAAAGCTTTTTACCCATTACTCTTGATAAATGGCCGTTTACTGGACACCAGTTAAAGGAACTACATTAGTTACACAACCCCTGGCTTTTAGGAACAATACAAACATGAGGTTTCTATGAAATCTGTAGAGCTCTAGTGCACTATTTCAGTAATAAATTGGTTCGAATGCCAATAGATCATAAATTAAAGTATCATATGAGTTATACTAGGTAGTTAATTACATTTTTGTGATGAGAATGCCCAATTTCCCATAGATGTAAAATGCAGACATTTAACACTGTTAAATTGAAAATAAACAGTGTGTGTTCTATCATCTCTTCTATATTTATGAAAAACTATAGGTGGCATATAACAGTAAGCGTCCGCGATTGTTCACCG